TTAGGTAGGCTGATTTTACATAATAAGATATGAAACACCCAACGTGGGCTATGTTGAATGACCCAGTGGCCATTTTTCTTAACAATTTGGATGTTCCAAATTTTTTATTTATTTAGATGTTTGTTTTTGGTGGTCCTACAGCAAAATTGGGGATCTGTTTCTCATATCATCTATATTCATTTCTTAGATCAGCTAAAACAATACTGATTTGGAGAGTGGCCATTTTTCTTAACAATTTGGATGTTCCAAATTTTTTATTTATTTAGATGTTTGTTTTTGGTGGTCCTACAGCAAAAATTGGGGATCTGTTTCTCATATCATCTATATTCATCTCTTAGATCAGCTAAAACAATACTGATTTGGAGAGCTCACTATGTGAACAATACTGATTTGGAGAGTTCACTATGTGCTCCAGATCAATCCCTTCTCCCTCTTGACCAGTATAGGAAAAATCGGACCGTTTAAATTGGAACTGCAGGTTAGATCGGAACAGACCATATTTCAGTTTTGGCCAGTATTGGTGAGCTGGTCGGGTATTTAAAAAATTAAAAATTTTATATAAAATTTTAAAAAATAAGGGATTTTGGCAAAGATTGAAAATTGTTTTAGTCATTACCACTTATTTTTACATTTTTCCATATATTTGTTTTAGAGATTTTCAAAAACAGCCCGAGGCTCAAAATCAATTCTTTAAAATCCATCTTTCTCATTAATTTTTAATTTCATATGGATGTGCTTTGTTTAACCGCTCGGGGCCGGTTGAACCGGCCGGTTTACCGGTTCCTATTGAGTAACTGTTTCCAGCCCCATGTTTAGTTAACTGTTCCGGTTCGATTTTTCCTACACTGCTCTTGACTATCCTTTTTTTGGGAATCAAATCTAAGCTTTTTAAGCCGATAATCACTTCATCCTTTTCAGAAAAGGGAAAGCTTTTTATGTTCCCACTACAACATAGAAGTTCTATGTTCCCCTTGCCATTCAGCTCTCAATTTTTTATCAAGAGAGCTACTTACAGTTTGATCTTAGATCTTAGATTTGACGTCTTAAAGTATTTTATTTTTAGCTTTTTTAATATATTTTTTTGAATATGAAATTTGGTACGTGTCACCTTCTTTATAGGGGCGCACCTATAAAAAATATTAACAATAATTTTTTGATAAAAATTAATAACCAAAATACCCCTTGAAACTTTAAAGGGTATTTTGGCCATTTTATTTTATTAAAAATATTTTTTTTTTATTTTTTCATTAGTACGAGTTTAATATAAGAATGGATGCTCAAAATTTGATGTCAAAACAGTTTATAGAAAAAAAAATTAAAAATAAAACAGTGTCTAGACGTGACATTGTGATTGGGGCAATCTTAGCCCTCCATTAAAAAATGGACGGTTGGATAAAGGGGAACATAGAACTTCTATGTTATAGGGGGAACATAGAAATATTTCCCTTCAGAAAAATAAGGTCAATAAACTGATCTTTATTCATTTTCAAATTACAAAAGCCCCCTCTAATTAAGTGTCGTTGCTCGTGAGATTAAAAGTAAAGTTTGCTCTTGGTGGACGACGATATATGCACCCTTTTTTAATGATCCAAATTACATGACGTTTGTGTAAGGTGCCCACCTTATACTATACAAGTGTCACCTCAAAATTGTGTCGGAGGACACGATTCCAATGTTAAAAATCTTAAGATGGCTTTAACATCTATGTTTCAATTGTAATTATGAAATTTAAAATTTCGAAAATGTAGATCGAGCCTCGACCCGTAAACACTTTGGAAATTTTAAAAATATGTTGTTTTTAGGGTTAGGAATTGTTTTTTTCTTTGTATCCTTATATCTTTTGGTTGGGATGATCAATTGGAAGGTTTTCTAGATTCAAAACACTATTTTCTACTGGATCTTTAAAGTTTACCGTACTTCTATAGTATATGGTTACAACTTTATATGAAGTTTTTCCATATATAATGATTTTCTCTTATGGACGCTATTAACTTGTGGAAATGCAGGCACGTTAATAAATCTATTTTTGGGATGGCTCTTTGGACTTAATTTTTAGGGATATGTAATCTTTAGCGTGGAGATCATGAATATGAAAAAATAAATAAAATTTCAAATTAAAATGATAAGTCTATTAAAAAAACATTTGAACCATTAATTTCAATTGTTTTTAGATTGACCATACGTTTGCATCCACTGTTAAGATGAATTCTTTATACTTCTAGACGACATGTGTAGAAATGCAATCTAACGCGCATGAAACAATTTTCCTCCTCTTACTGCCATATGTTGTTTGAAACAATTTTCCTCCTCTTACTGCCATATGTTGTTTAAAGAGGGAATATTTTGTGAGTAGACTTAGGAGAGTATATGCTAATTTTATTAGGTGTTGGGACTTCAGCAGTGAGAAAGATAGTCATGACTATTGTTTACAAAATCGCCCAATCTAACTACTAACTACCCGGTTAAATCGGAACCGGCCAGTGGCCGGTTTTAGTTTTGGGCGGTTGGTGTGATCAACTGTTATTTAAAAAACAAAATTAAAAAAAATGTATATAAATTCTCAAAAATAAGGAATTTGAATTGTAATGCATTTTTTAATATTCTTTACATTATGGTAAAGATTAAAAAAAAAAATTGATCATTAATACGCACTTTTATATTTTTCTCATTTTTGATTTTTTTTAAAAAATAGCCATTAGAAAATATAAAATGGATTAAAATCTATTTTTTTCATTAATTTTCAACTTCTATTGAATGTGTTTTGTTTTAATCATTCTTTATACGATTTTCATATTTTAGTATTTTTTTTTTTAACATTTTTTTAACCATCCGGGATTTACCCGGTTAGAGCGGTTGAATCGGCCTGTTTACCGATTAGACAGGATAAACCGCTTTCAAGTTCATATCCAGGGCTCGATTTTGCGAATTCTGGTCATGACAGTTATGTCTGCTAGCATGCTTCTACGTCAGGAGAAAGTCATGTTCAGTTTCACCTTTGTCCATATGCTTCTAGGTCAGGAGAAAGTCATGTTCAGTTTCACCTTTGTCCATTCTGTTCCCAAAGAGCATTATCCTCCAAGGAAGAACACATGTTTGAGCTTTGAAAAATAAAAAAGAAATTACGGAAAATGGTTAAGTGGCCCTGGGTCCAAATGAACAATTTGGACTCCCATTTCAACCTCTTTATTAGGCATGTTTGATTGATACCAAACCCTCAAAACCATATTTATCATAAGGATTGTATAGGCTATTTATTTTTTGTATAAGGAAGTCACATTCCCTTTTAGCCATTGGGTGAGAAATCCAATAGATAAAAGTGTGTCACAACATTTGAAAATATTTATTTTGAACTTTGTACCTAAACAACGATACATCTTCAACCATCCGATTGTAAATCTAATGGTCAATAATGACTGTGACATCCTTGTATAAAAAATAAGTGGTCTTATCATATACAATTCCTTTATCATAATCTAAGATCAAATTCATTTGTATGCTTAGAAAATGCCAAATTAAATCATCCCTCAAGATTGAATATGCAGTCTCCATTTTTGTTCTAAGGAATTTTGAGCCTAGAAATTTTTCTTTTCGTAATTGATCCTAGATTGCATCACAGATAGCTCAGAAGAGTTTAGTAAACAACTACACAAGTCCCCCTTTCTAGATGCTCTGGCCTGGCCCCCAAACTACAATTTTTGCCTGCTGGACCACCATGCACACCCCTAAAGTTTATTCGGCTCGTTGGCTAGGAAATCTGGCGAGAAAATTATTTTTAGGGCGAAGGCTAGTAGGATTCACATTTCTTTTCTTTTTTAGGCTTGAAATTTAGAAAATAATTATGAGGAAAATATTTTTCTCCATTGAAAATTAGATCCAAAGTCAAAATATATGTTCTCCATGGAAAACATTACCAAGAAAAACATTTCTAGGGATCCAAACCAACCCTTAATGCACATAAATATTCTACATAAAAATAGTTATTCTACTTGCAATACTTCCAAAAAATGGAGATAACGAAGTTATATTGCAAGTAGAGGTGTTTACACGGGCATGGGAATTGGGCTTGGTCTTGGGCTTGAGTGGTCATTGACGTACAACAATACTACATTTTAAGTTCAATTCTTAGCACTGAACAGCCCAAACAAACCAAAACAAAATGGGAGGGTGAGGGAGTGCCTTCTTTCTACTACGTTTTTTATTTTCCTAAAACTAATACTTTCCTTTGGTGTTTTTATCGAACCGCTTCGCAATTTTTGCGTGTAATCGCTGACGATGTTAATCTTTTATGTCATTTCAATTTTATTAGATATCTCCAAAATCTTTTCCCTTCGGGGTAGTTCAATAGTAGGAATCAAACTTGAGATATTGTGCTACTAATGTCAACTGCTAACCACTCGAGCTCGATCTCGACTCAATTTTCCTTTGGTCATCGAATGCTGAAACCATACCATAATGCCTAAGTGAAGAACCACCTTTTACCTCTAACTTTTGAATGAAGTTATTGATACATATTTTTTTCATTTTTGAATGAATTGTGCAGCATGTGGAGTGAGTGGCTCCTTGTATGGGCTCATGTTGTTGATCGTGGGGTGCGCATGTTGCTACTCATGCTTCTACCGTTCAAAGTTAAGGAGCCAATATAACCTCTCAAAGTCACCTTGTGCCGATTGCCTTGTTCACTTTTTCTGTGAAGGATGCGCCTTGTGCCAGGAGTACAGAGAACTCAAAGCTCGTGGTTTCGACATGTCTATTGGTAAGAACTCATCCAAATCCTAGACATTTCTTGTATATTTCTCATCGATTTTCAATGCAACATTATTTTGTTTTAAACCCATCCCATTCACTTAGAGGTGGCAATGGGCTCGGTGGCCCGGTTTGGCCCAAAAAAACAAGGGCTGCAGCCACAAGATGTGGTCCAAGGGCTAGGGGTCTCAATGGACCCAGACCCCACGAGTAGACTCGATCCGCATCGGGGTATGGGTCAAAAAATTCGACCCTGTGGGTCAGGTCTAAGTCCAATAATATTCTTTGGGTCCCAATATATGTAATATATTTAGATAAATATTTTAATTTTTGGGGCGGGACCTATTGGGTCTGGATCTAGGTCCCATATCATTCTTTCAGGTTCAGTAGGACATGGATCTGAGTCGACCCGTTGCCACCCCTAGCTAAGGCCATGCCAACATGGCTCGAAGGCAGGGCTGAGCCAGGTTTGGCCCACAACATCGCTGGCCTATTTCAGGCCAGCCCAGCCAGGCCCTTTTTCTTTTTTCTTTATTTTTCTTGAATTATATTTGGCCCTACCGTACCCGTTGCAAGACCTACATTTAGTAATTGTCAACTTATATTACGGATTTTTTAGAGTCTTAGCTTTATACAAACTTTTTCCTTTTATAAATAAATGAATGTTAAATAGTTTACCTTTTAGATAGAGCTCAGCAAATTTTTCCCCTGGATTATTATTATTATGAGTTTCCAATTTATTTTGACAATCTCGATCCTCACCCTTTAATCAACCAGTTGGACCAATTTAGGAATCATATGTCCATGGGACGTTAGGTTTCAGTAAAAGTTCTTTATAGGATGCATTGGATCTAAGCACTTCATTGTCGATTCTACACTAGTACCTTGTTTTTTTTTTATTTCTTGGGGCTGCTAAACGCCTCTAGTGTCTAGAACCGGCAACATACACACATGAAAGGTATTTTTGTGAGGACTTCAACCTACAAAACAATAGGCAATTCAATTTCCCAGATCTAAATGGTCAACATGTAAGGTATAAGAGCCCATAGGTTCGCTTCTGTTGACCCCCTCTCTTACCGCAATGACACGTGGTGGAAAAGAAATTTTGCAAAAATGGTAGTTTACATGTTTGGCAAAGAGGTAATAGTTCAATTTGATTTATTTGATGAAAGTGAGCCAAATACGTTCACTGTTTCTATTGTAGCGCACAAAAGAGGAAATAACTATTCTTTCAGAGATCTACAATTAAAGAGCTCTCTTAAGGAAGAATATTTTGATAATACTACTTTGGGAAATCTCGAATGGGAAGGTGCTCCTTTTTCCATAGATGTAATTGTTCAGTAGGGAAAAATATTTCCTGACTTCAAAAGAAAATATGTATACTATAGATTAATATATAACATATATGAATAACTCTTTGCAAATTGGTACTGTCCAATTTTTAAAACTATTTCAAAAAAATTACCCCTTGAAGATATAAAGAGTTAAAAGTCCTACTGAAAGTTCATCTTTAGTAAGTTCATCTTCTCCAAAAAGAAAGTTCAATGAAAAAGCCTCTTCTTCCACTTCTTCTAAAGAAGCTTCATGCTCAAAGTCATATCCCGAATACCCTCCAGGATTTGAGAAATATGCACAAATGATGGAAGAAAAATGTGAGTTGCTTAAAAGAGAATTTGATCCTCATATGCCTTTATCGTAAAATGGTGAGGAAATCCTTGATCTTCAATGGCTAAATGGCATTCTAGAAGAAGTTCCTCAACTAAATAAACTTCCTAAATACTCAGACCATCCAGTTTCCCAGATAAAAATGCGAAGATCTAGATATTCCTTAGCCTCTTCATCAGAAACCCAAAAAATGACACAAAAAAATCCAAAATCCCTATCCAATTCAACCTCATTTATTTCTTTGCATTCTTATGTTCTAGAGAAAGAAAATGTCTTAGACAATTAAGGTAATGTCAGTTTCCTTGTGGTTAACAAGCAAGATTTAAATCTGTCTCTGTTTGAGTCTAGATTTTCCAAGTCAATTCGTCAGTATGAAATCATTCTCCATGTCAAAGGTAAAAGAATTTGTCCTATATTTTTACCTTTGTTTAAAAAATTAGATATCGAAAGGTAGAAAAATAAGAAATATCAATATGTCAATATTGGACAAATAGATATTTTTGTCCATCCACACTTAAATTATGATTTAGGAGCAGAATATTCAATCATCTTTCTAGATATCAGACATTTAGAATGAGAGAAAGCCTTGGTTTGTCAAAGTTAATGGATGTCAACAGTAAACAAAATCTTAGCTTTTTTTCTTTTCTTCTTCAAAATTCTGAATATATGAAAGAATCATCTTTAGTTTCCCAATTGAAAATAATGAGAAATGCTAATGTTGAGCAATATGGTCTCAAAAATACAGAATATGACACTTCAATTTTAAATATTGATGAATTAACTCATTCTCCTTCTAAAGAAAACAAGATATCATTATTTGGGTGCACAGATGAATGTATGTCAATAGCATAAGAAGTTGGTTAAACATAGATTCCGTCAAATATGCTATAAGATTTTTACAGGGAAGAGCTGGTTACTCATAGACTCCTTGGAAAATATAAGATCATTCTTCCATATATTCAGAATTTTGAAAAAGAAAAGAAGAAAACTACGATTTCTTTACTTTTGACATCCCTTAATTTGACAAACTAATGCTTTCTCTCATTCTAAATGTTTGATATCTAAAAGGGAGACTAAATATTCTGCTCCTAAATCGTAATTGAAGTGTGGATGAATAAGATTATTTATTTGTCCAATATAGACATATTGATATTTTTTATTTTTTCGCCTTTTAATATCTGATTTTTCAAAGAAAGGAAAAAATACAAGACAAATTCCTTTACCTTTGACATGGAGATTGACTTCATACTGACGAATTGGCCTGGAAAATCTAGACTCAAACAGAGAAAGATTATACAAATCTTGCTTGCTCACTTGAGAAAAACTTACATTTCCTTGATTGTCTAATACACTTTCTGTCTCTAAACTATAGGAATATAAGAAAACATAGGAGATTAAATTGGATAGAGATTTTCGATTTTTCGATGTCATTTTTTGGGATTCTGATGAAGAGGCTAGGAAGATCTTGATCTTAGCATTTTTTTCCAAGAAACTGGAAGTGTCTAATTATTTAGGAAATTCGTTTTGCTCAGGATCTTCTTCTAGAGAGCTATTTAGCCATTAAGGATCAGGGGTTTCCTCACTATTTTGAGATAAAGGCACATGAGGATTAAATTCTTTTTCAAGCAACTCGCCTTTTTTTTCCATCATTGATGTATATTCCTCAAATCCTGGAGGGTATTCGCGAGCATGAAGCTTTTTTAAAAGAAGAGGCCTCTTCATTGAACTTTCTTTCTATTGAAGATGAACTTTCAGCTAGACTTTTAACACTCTTTATATCTTCAGGGGGTAAATTTTTTCAAATGGTTTTAAAAATTGGGCAGTATCAATAAGCAAATAGTCTTTCATCTCTGATATATACTTATTTATAATATACATTTTTTTTTTTGAAGTCAGGGAATATCCTTCATTGAACAATTTCATATATAAGAGAAAGAGCACGTTTCCATTCGAGATTTCTCAAAGTAGTATCATCAAAATCTTTTACCTTAAGAGAGCTATCTAATTGGAGATATCTGAAGGAATAGTGATTTCCTCTTTTATGCACTATTACGAAAATAATGAACTTGTTTGGCTTACTATCATCATGTAAACCAATTTGAGTGATTACCTCATTGCCAAATGTGAAACCTCTTTTCCACCACGCTTTATTGCAGTAAGAGAGGGGGCCAACAGGAGTGAACCTATGGGCTCTGATACCAGAAACATGCAGATTACCAATTGTTTTTTTATATATACAAATCCTTTATACCTAAAATTTTGGTAAAATGTTTGACCTATACTTTTACAAAAGGAAAAATATAAACAAATAGTATGTTCAACCAATTATATCCAAAATGCGCCCACCCCTGTCAATGAATGTTGAGTGTTTGATGGTTCTATCTCGGCAAGGACACTTGGACTCACAATCATTCCATAGGCCCCAAGGCTCATATGATATCAATAGTATGTGTGTAAGTGTGTGTTTATGGACATTGTACAATATGACTATTTACTTTTAGTATAAAGAGGTCATAATTATTGTTGACAGTTAGATTGGAAATAGGGTGGTTGGGGATGTGTCATTGACTAGGCATAGAATTTACAATACAATATCTCTAATTTATTTTATAACATACTTCAATCCATCAAATTTCTTATCCAATAACTAATGGTGATTGTGACTTCCTTGTACAAAAAGTAAATAGTCTTATAGCATACAATCCGTTCTATGTATACTTTCCCCTCCCCCCTCTCCATGGATGTGATCCTATACACATGCATACTCATATTTGGACTTTGGACTATGTATCTAATTGTGGAGCAAAAAATCTAATCTTCTCAATTTCTTTTTTTCTTAGTTTTTCTTAAAATGAAATGTACATACTTCAATAATTAGTATGTAATTTTCTCTTCTCTCACTTTTTACTTGATAAGGATGAGATATGAGTATTAACCGAGCTTTCATGGTTTTGATATAAATGTGAAGGTTGGATTGGAAACATGGAGAAGCAGACTCGAGGGGTGACCACCATGCCACCGTCCATGGCAGGAGGCATGACTAGATAAGCTCTATTCATTGCTTTTATTTGTGCAGGGTTTGTTTAAGGGTGTGGTTTATATGAGGTCGTGGCCCTAAACAATTAAAGTAGGGCGCACCTTAAAATAATATTTCAGTATCAGAAATCTTTATGATGGCCTAAAAATTTATTTTCATCTCTAATTAGAAAATTTAAAGTTAAAAAATAATGTAGATCGAGCAAATATATGAGCACTTAGAAATCTCAAAAATTGATGGTATGATAATGCATTACAAAATGCATTATTTCCAAGACTTGAGATCTATTTTTTTTCATGTCCATATATATTGAGGTCGAGATAGAGAGTTGAGGGTTTTTCAGTGTTGAAATAACCTTTTCTAACGAATTTTTGAGGTGAGCCTTAATGTGATTATTAAAGGCTTGACCCTTATATAAAATCTATCCTTTTAATAATTATCCATGAGAGATGATCTATTTACCATTAAAGTTTTATCTTTTCATTTAATTTCAAAACAACCATCAAAATACTCAAATTACATGTTATCATGAGTTGGAATAGTTGCAACTGTTGGATTGGGTGTTATCCAAAATCACCAACATAAAGATATTCCCATATTTTATGGGATTGATTGATATATTAGGTGGGCCTGAAAAATCACCAGCATAAAGATATTTCCATATTTTGTGGGATTGATTGAGATATTCTAGGTGGGATTGAGATATTCCCCTATTTTGTGGGATTGAGAAGTTTCATGAAGGAAATAGAAATCCAAAAAGATTAGGACTTTTGGATTTATCTTTTGGTCTTTTGAGATATATGTGGAGTTCCAGTCCGTCGGTAAGCCGGTCAGCTATTATCTTTACCTTTGAAGCAGCCCGAGCAATGGCTATGGCTCTATTATAATATAAGAAAATTTACCCTACTACTACTACTTTATTTTTGAAGGAAGGGTGACTCCGTCCTACACCCAAGGAAATCGACACCATTCATAGCTGCTTAGGCATCTTTTTGGAATACCTATATCTACAGCTGTTGTAATAGGCGTGTGGTTTGATAATACACCAATTTGGCCACTATTAGTGGATAAAAGAATTTCTTTCACTTCTGAATCCCAAATGATTCTATTAAGAGTCAGTATACAAAGATTTAGGGTCATTTTTTTAATTTTCTCTCTACTTCTAAGTTAATAGCCTTTGCGTAGCTTCATCGATGTTACCTACCAGATAAAAAGCTTGTTTGGGAAGACCATCTAATTCTCCGGAAAGGATAAATTTCAACTCCCTAACATATTTTCGTGGAGAACCAGTAAATACCTCTGCTATGAAGAAGGTAAGAAACGCTCAATTTTTCGTGCTCTTGCTACAATTAAATGATCCTCTTCGGATAATTCATCTGGTCCAAGAATAGTTATAATGTCTTGAAGTTCTTTGCAACGTTGTAAAGTTTGCTTAACTCTTTGTGCAGTTTCGTAATGTTCCTCACCAACGATCCGAGGTTGGAGCATAGTTGACGTTGAATCTAAATGATCTACTGCTGAATAGATACCTTTGGCAGCTAATCCTCTTGATAGTACAGTAGTACCATCTAAATGTGCAAATGTCGTGGCAGGTGCAGGGTCGGTCAAATCGTCTGCAGGTACATAAACTGCTTGACTAGAAGTTATGGATCGTTCTTTAGTAGAAGTAATTATTTCTTGCAAAGAACCCATTTCTGTATTAAGGGTAGGTTGATAACCCACAGCAGAAGGCATTCTGCCTAACAAGGCAGAGACTTTTGATCCTGCTTGAGCGAAGCGAGAGATATTGTCAATAAATAGAAGTACATTAACATCACGAAAATATTCCTCCATTGTTAGGGCAGTTAAACCAACTCTCATACGAGCTCTTGGCGGTTCATTCATCTGACCATAGACTAGAGCGACTTTTGATTCTGCAATATTTTGTTGATTAATTACTCCGGATTCTTTCATTTCCATGTAAAGATCATTTCCCTACGTTCTCGTACTCCGCCAGATACAGATACACCTCCATGGGCTTTGACAATGTTATTGATCAATTCCATGATGAGACTTTTTTACCCACTCCGGCTCCCCCGAATAGCCCAATTTTTCTCCACAACGATAAGGGTTTAACCGCTAACTGGCTTGCATCCTACAACACCCAAACTGACCATGCTACGTTGAAGGGTGAATTCTGATGTAGGCAAGGTACCGGGAAGGTTAGTTTTGCAAGTACTGAGGTCAGACTTAATATAGTCATTTTCAAATTCAAATCATCAGAGAAGAGGACCAGGAGATCCATAAAGGTCTCTAGATCCAGTGGTACCTCTTTTGGGTCTTGGGCAAAAATTAATTTGTCTAGTTTTACCATAGAGATTGTCAGGGCCAAAGGATACTAAAGTACAGGCTGACCAACTTCGGAGTCGACCAGCAGAGAGGCAATCTTGAACATAGAACTGTCAGGTTGAATCTGATTGGGGATTGCGTCTACAGTTAGGTTCTTCAGTGTAGGAAGAAAACCATCATATACATCGAATGAATGTAGCCCAAAATCTGAAGGAAAAGGGGTGCAGGTAGTCAGAGTGAGTTCCATACCTAATCCTTCGGATCTACCCTTCGTATTCTCGAGAACAAACTTTTTTAAAAGCTTTCCTCTTTCAAGGCATATGTCGGTTCAAGAGATTAACTCGTGAGTCTTCAGCTCTTATAGCCTTTTGGCCGAACTGTAAATCATTGTACCAAGTAGTAAGCACTCGGCCTTTCGTAGAGCTTGAAGACTTGCTTATCATGTCAGAATCAAGACCTCCGAGTTGACAGGATATCCCCGTAGAGCACTCTCCTGATGGATTAGACTGAAAATGTTCCCATGTAGGAAAAACTGGTTTTGATTGAAGATTGGGAGATCATACTCCTACTTAAAAGCTATCGATACAACCTCTGTGGTCTCCGCAGCTTTTGACGGCCTCGACAGCGTTGGGCCGTTCACTCTTTTGAGCATCGTACCAACCAATGTCATCCTGGAGTGGGATTACACATGATGCTTCAGTCACAATGACCACCTCCACTTCGAATAAAGCTCCACCGGCCGTTACCGCAAAGTTGATGAAGCTTAATCAGAAGAAAAAGCTCCATTCGACTAAAAAAACCAAAGGCGACTCGAGTCTTGGCTTTGAACACATGTTGGATTCCGAGCCGTCGGATGCAAGTTCTTTAGGAATTGGCTTTTGCATCTTTCTTAGGCCAGTTGCAGAGCTGAGATGATCGCCCAAACCATCTTCGCTTCTTTTGCCACTTGATCGATCATCAGTTCCTTGTATGGCGAGGAGCTTTAAGTAGTGAGATCCAGTGGAGACACAGGATCATTAAGGGGCAAATGAGCCTCATTCTTGATGAGAATTTCATCGCAGACCTGTATAACCTCTTTACAGGCTGTCATCTTCTTATGGATGGTGGTAGCCTTGCCCATATCAGCTTTTGGCTGCTGGCTTAGATCACCTCCCGGAATCAGAGTATCTGAACTCAAACAGTCATCATCCGGGGCCAACGCTGAGAAGAAGACCATCCTCAAGTTCATAGATTATGTCATCATGGATGGTTGCTAGAGCTTCATGTAAAAACTTCCTAGCATTCGTTTAGTAACCATGCTCTGCCATAGGTGGATCTCCTTGAAAGATGATAGCAGCAGATAGATCATTGTCTTCTTTCATTTGCCGGTGTGTAGGCAGGCTGAAAGACTGTTCTTCATCATTTTGAATGGAGAATACCACTAGATATCTACCATCAACTCTAGGAGGTTCCTTCATATCATTAACACTCACCGTCGTGCTAAGCCTTTTTAGGCAATTCTTCTGTATAGAGCAAGCATCGACTTTAAGAACTTTCGTCTGCTCTTAAGGAGAAGAGTGACCACGGATTGGCTCTGAGCAGCTTCATAGGGGACAAATTGAACCAATCGCGTCTCCTTGTGCTCATCGTCGCCATAGATCCAATGACCATGATCAGCCATTGTTCAGTCTGTCAAGAGAATAACGGAAGCAGAATCAGTCTTACCTTCTTTCTTCCTTGAATGTTCGTTGGGTCATAGGCATGCTGGAAAGCATTTCTTCATCACTTAAGATTGAGTACTTCTCCTTTCTATTAGGTCATTCACCAGACGCCACGCTAGGTTTTGTCAGACAATCCTCTTCAGCTTTGAGGACTCCTGTAGATCCTTTAGCACAAGAAAGGCTGCTCCTTTGATGTTACAGAGGCACTAATGATAGAAACTCTTTCTGGGACGGTTTCCTCTTATCTTCTTCTTCTAATTTCTGCAGTTTTGCCATATAAGAGTCTGAATGAGAGAACGGAGTGGCAGAAACGTCTTCCACTTTAATTGTCGGGGACATCTTGGGGCCCTTGAACACATGGTCAAGGAACCACGAGTCATTTCTTTCTTGACTTCGCAGGCTTTGCAGTTCGTTCTGCATCTCGGATCTTCCTTGATCCGAAAACCCAGTCAGCCATTTGATCCTTCTGGGATCGACATGAGACTCTATAGGCTCCACTTAGGGGCTATCTTGCCCTATATCCTCTGCGTTTCGCGTCTCGCTCATGGAAGGTTCCTTGCTGCCTCTCGAGTGCATTCCATGTTGGAGAAAGAAAAGCCCTTATAAAGCCAGCGAAAACCTCCGTAGCTGGGCTATTTTGAGTCATAACCTCCATGCCTTGTTGTTCTAGTGTCAAAGGTTCTTCACAGGGAGGATTGTTTTTCGAAGAAGGGAAGAAGCCCTTATTCAGTCCTGCAACGGTGTTCGTAGAGAGGTCGTCCTTCACCTTGCATTTCCGTCGAGGCGTAGTTGACTCCCGAGAACTAGGACTGGGAGAGAGAAATCCTCTTTTGAGCCCCGCAAAATCTTTCACAGCCGGATTGTCTTCTTTGCAGGCAGGGTCATCATCATAGGTCGGCGGTGGTTGAATGAGTAGGTTGGCCAACATAATGAGAATCATTTGATAGATATCTGTTGTAGAAGTGCGCAGAGGTACGGATATTCGTACGGAGCAATCAATATGGACGCCATAGAATCTTCCTTCGCTTGTTCTTTTGGTGAGGGGAAGAGGGGAACTCAAGCAATCGAGGTAGATTCTGAAGGATCTTTCTTGAGGCAAGAGTGGGGCCCACCAGCTAGCTCCAGCTCAAGCCCAAGTGCAGTCTTTAGGTCCTGTGGTTTAGGTCTTGCGGGTTGTAGATTCCCTTTCCCTGGAACCCATATCCCTGCCCTGATCAAGTCTCAGGCATGGGTACTCCTCGACTTGGCTCAGTCACAATGAGATTGTTCATTTTATCCCCTACTGGCAAATCTCATTTTGATATAGAAGTGGCTTTTCCTTCATTTTGATGTAGAAGAGACAAAGAACATCAACTATTCATACTCGACTCGTTGAGACTCGTCTAAGCATGGCATCTTAGCTCGAAGAGACCACTTCTATATCAAATGCCCTAATTCTCAAAAAGACGAGGAGTCCTTTGGCTTGATCAGGAAGCCATCGCTGAACGCTGAAAGTTGGAGGGCATAAAAACAAACCAAATCTCGAAGTTGTAGAACAATTGCACGGAACAATGGCACACATAATAGGTCGAATTACCCATCTTAAAGAATAGGATCACCGACTTAGCGAGTCAGATCACTAACTTCAGGGAATCGGATCACCTTCTTCATGAGTCAAATCATCAACTGAATGAGTCGAATCCCCCCGCTACATCAGTCAAATCGCCATCTTCGTGACACTCTCGTCCATGAGATAGATCCGATGAAACATCACTTGACCAAAGAGACTGTCCCAATACGAAACCATAGCTCATTAGCTACTTCCAGCTAGTTAGGTCAAGGGCGAAAGCATCAAGGGAGAGAGGTTTATATACGTTGACTGTCACCGAGATCAGAAATCAGAAGGAGGGATCATCGGGGAAGTACTTTGGACACATCCTTTAGAGGCAAAGGCAAAGAACCAAAACCTAGCAACAAGATCGTTCTTCCACAACTGGACCAGATGTCAAAGGCAAGAATGGTATGCCATCCACCAGCGGATTCATGAGCAGGAACCTGCAGGGCCCTATCCAACACTTGACCAATACCAACAGAGCGGCAACAAATTTGAAAATAAAGGCGCATGACGGTTTTTTTTGTCTCGCAAGTAATAAGACTAAGGCACTTCCCAATACAAAGCAAGGAGCTAAACCAACGATAACAACATGCATCTCCTTAAATAATACATAACCGCATCCAAAGAGGAGGGAGGGTCGCTCAGCATGAGGCTGCGAGGAAGGAAAGAAGTGAAAAAGAGAAGTGAAAGAGAAAAGTAAGAAGTCAATCCGAGTAGAGTCAAGTAGGAAGTTTTCTATTTTGTGTGGATTTCTATTTATATATATATAGGATAAAAGTGCATAGAATTTGTGTACCCAATTTCGGTCACCATATGGGAATAGTGGTTTCTCGAGAGAGAGGGAGGTAGAACCTCCTGTGCATAAGATGCGATTTCCTCTAAGAGAAGAGAGCTTGTGCATAAAAATAATTGATTCCAATCTCAGAGAATGATATTCATAAAGCACTTAATGTGCTTGTATCTAGACTGGATCAGTCTAACACACTAGTGAGGGTTATGGTCTAATGAAAACTAGTATGGCTAGTAGTTGAATCAGTTAGATAGGATTTTAGTAATAAAAAAAGGAATAATACTTTAAATATATGATTTAAAAAATTTAACTCGTTTTGTTGAGCCGGTCTAACCTATCAAATATGGTGCTCCGATCCGTCAAAACTGATCAAACATTAGCTTTTATCATTTTTCAACCAAATCTTGTTTTTATTTTAGATACGATCAACCAAGGCTGGTTTGACCAGCCAGATCGGTGAGTCAGGTCGGATCTTGATACCAATACTTTGTAGCAACAATGGTTCATTTAGAATCCCTCAAAAGTACATTTGTGATTTCTCCAAAAGTAGCAAAGCAAAGCAAAACACTGAAGGTTTATAAACTGCAATACCTGAATTTCTCCATTCGATCAATTATATGCTTTAACAAGCAAGATATCATTCTATTGCCCTAAAACCTCTTAGTCTGGAACTTCTAAAACCGTGTTACTGATCCAACTGTCGTTGATTTTTCTCATATATTTTCTTGCCTTAAAGTAATAAGGTGCAGAAGGTGAATCATGAGTTTAACAAGGGAAGTTTATAAAGATACTCATATGAGATGAGGTATTTAACATTTTGCCCATTTGCTATTATGCAAGCTCAAGACTGTATTTTTCTAAAGATTTTTTTAATATAGATAAAGTGTTAAATTGTTCCTCTCTCATGAGTAATTATACAAAACTCCCTTTTAACAATTCCCCAACTATACATTATTCTACCAGGATTGTCTATAAAGAGACATTTGATTTTATTACAAGGAAGTCGCAACTATTCTCACTCATTAGATGTTAAATTGAATGGCTTTGGTTGGGTTAAGAAGTCTAATATTTTTTTTTTTTGAAACTTTATGTCTATTCAATGACACTCTTACAGTCACTCATTTTAAAATTTAATAAACAAGAGTGATTGTAACCTTGAATAAAAAGTAAGAGGTGCGGTTTCTATAAGGTTGCAACCTTAAACAATCCAATTAAGCCACAACTCCAAATTTTATCACAACATGTAATTTTGTTGTTAAAAATTCTTAGGATTATCTTAAAATCTATTTTCATATCTAAAAAATTTTAAACTCCAAAAATAGTTAAAATCAAGGAGATCTATAAATATATGAAAATCTTGAAAATGAACAGCCTAGATAACGTGTTGAAAGATGAATTATTTTTTAAACTCAAAATTTTTTTTTTTTTTAAATATTCATACATCTCGGTGTCAAGATGATCAAATAGAGGGTTTTTCAACATTAAAACAAACTTTCCGATAGATTTTTAATGTGCATCTATAATTCTACATTTTAAGGTTGCAACCTTATATAAACTTTTCCCAAAAGTAAATTGTCTCTTTGTATACTTTTTTTATTCTACCACCCAAAACATTTGGGTGTATAAGAGAGTAGAAGTTCATATGAGCACTGCCTCACTATAAAAACTTGATTGGTGGATTCTTTCTTGATTCTTTAGATATATGCTTAGCAACAATTATCATTACGGGGGTATTATCAGTAGGGTCTTCTATGAAGACACTATATTATTTGTTTTGTTTATAGGAATTTATCAAATAATCGCAAAAACATTAAAGTGTCAAATTAATGTATTATGTACTATGAAATGATTTTCTGTTAATATTAGTATGAATGAATTCCAATTATTCATAATTTAAAAATAAATATATTAAACATTTTAGAAAATATAAATTTAATAGTAATTTTTAATCATATCAAAATTCTTAATAATCATCGTTATCCCAACTATTTGGATCGGCTCAAAAAAAAAAAAACGTTGGGATATATATCAAAAGAGCACGTATGACATACTACCCTCGGGAACATAGTTTACTTCTACCCCCTCAATCAAAAAACCTACTTGGGTGGATTTTTTTAATATGAAAATTTGGGAACCACCTAAGAATCACTAAAATAATTATTTTAAAAAGAAAAAATTGAAGTTCGATTTTTTCTTACACTTAGATCTCACCTTCTAAAAATTGGACTGACTCCATTCAATCGTGAGATATTATTTTCTTCAAGTGCATAGAGGGTCCAATTAGGTTTTTTATTTTTCTGAGGTTAATCTATATGTTAAAGAAGATTTATCTCCAAAATTTTGGGTCCTAAAATTAATCCTAGATGAGATTTT